TGTGATGCATGCTTTATTTACTGTAGCTGCTTCCAGCTTACTCTGTGAAGTTCCTGTTATGGCCTCAGGGTGGAGACACTGAGCCATCTGGTATGACGGTGCTAGAAATGTCTGGGGGTCACACATTTACCCTGTGGTAGTATGGATTTTCAAACAGAATGTCAATTAAAGGACATATATCTTTAAATTATCTTTACAAATATTGTAAAATAGTAAATCTAGAGTGTAGAGTACGTAATGTGCTCGTTAAATAGAGTATCTTATAAGAACGAATCTCTGTCAAAGTAATATAGGAAGTGTAACAGCAGCATAACTGAATAGATAAGGGAGAATACCGCATAGAGATAAACATAAAGTGAACATCTGTATGAGAAGAGCTTTGTAAATGAGACAAGGTGAGCAGAGGACCAGAGAGGAAAGGTAATAAGGTCATACTATGCTTCCTGTGAAAATGATGCTGACAGAGTTTTACAGCCCTACATTGTGTCCTCCGTCAGGAACTGCAGAGGAGAAAGACGAATCAGCGCTCTGTGGTCCACCCTCGTCCCTCCCTCTCTCCTCTACCTCTCTGTATTTCTCCACCTCGTCTCAGACGTATGATGCTCTACATTGCTGCACACTAAAGCCGACAGCTTTTTAGCCTCCAGCCGGACAGGAACACGCAGGCAGAAACTGCTACATCATCCAGCCCTGACGAGAGGTAAGTCTCCTCTAAGATGTTCAGCTACAGCTATGGGAATAGTTATGAGCATTAGGAATGCCGTAAAAAGAATATAAGGGAATGAAGGACATGATAACAGAAAATGCCCAAGTGCAGAGATATGTAAACAAAAATAATTAATTTGTGTCATGAGACGTTGCATATGGATAAATTAATGTAAAACTGTGTCAAGAGCATTGGAAAATGTGAAGAACAGTTTTACAAATATAGAAATCGTTTCATCTAAGTTGCATCTAGTCCAATTCTGAAGGCAACTAGAGGACATTAACAATTTAGATCGTAGCATCTCAACCTTGTAGACACCTAAATCAAACCAAATAATTGTTACTGCACCAAAGGATTTTGTATTTCTTAAGAATTTCCCTTTTATTGTGTTTTTGTTCTATTATGTCTCCCTACTTGAGATTACAATAACTTATAACACGAGCACTGATTTTCAATTTGGCGTGTCTCTGCAAATAAACAGTGTTTACATATATATAATATTTAAAGATGCTCTATGTAATTTGCTTTTCTGTCTTTAATAAAGTTGGATGGGTGCTTTTCCATCATGCTCAAGTCTCTGTTTGTATTTGGAGTGCTGGGAGGTAAGATTTATTTTGTATAACTTAATATTTCTTCTTTGTTGTATCTCAAGACCATATAATAATAATAAGGTTTACATTTAAATACAAATCTGCTCAATTCCACTGGGTTTATCATTTGCTCTTTTATTGTTTTGCCACAGTTCTGCTGATCCCAGCACAGTGTGATCGGATATCCGTGTGTGTTGAAGATGACAACGACCTCAGAGTTGACTGTCTGATTCCGCCCAAGTCCAGCCAGATTGCCAACTATGAGTTCTCTTGGTCCACAGGAACCAAAGAGTACATCATTAACACCAATGTGTCCGGTTCATCTCCAGATAAGGAGTTCAAAAACAAAAGCTACGTGGAGGAGCTGGATCCTCAGGGCTACAGGATGACCCTGACCGGCTACACAGACACACTCCACACCACTACGTACATGTGCAAAATGTGTGGGGAGGTGGCCAGCATCACCGTGGAAAAAGGTAGGTGGATCGGCTTTGTGTGTGTGTGGATCTGAGCAAGTGAGCGTGAGAAAAAGTGAGTGGGAGAGACATTTGAGAACATTTTTTCAATTGTTCACATCCAACTTTTCTTCCTCTGCAGAGGAAGTTGTCCAGTGTTCAGCCATATTTCTGAAGAGTTCTGGCTCCTGGATCGTTTGTCTGCTGCTCTTCTTCTATCAAACACACAGCTAAACAAACCCTACAGGCTTCTGCTGGCACACCCATATCCAACCACACCTACGCATCTGATAACAACAACAACAACAACAACAACACCCACATGTGTATTAGATGTTGCCTATAGCTTACAAATGTATCTCTCTTTCTCTCTTGTTTCCCTCCCATAAACACAACAATAGTTTAAAATGTTTTCTTAACTCTCTTTGACCAGAAAGAATGAAGATAACTCAACAGAAATGTTTAGAGATGTGTTTTTTTCTGAGGAGGCACACCCAAATAGAGTGAATAACTTCTAATGTAAATAATACTTTGGAAGCCGCAACATTTGTTTTCAATAAAGGGAGGCTAATTAAAACCAGACATTGATTTGTTGTGAATTAATTGGACCAAGATGGAAATAAGCTGCGTCATGTAGACCAACTCCATCAAGTTGGAGTAAAGTCTTACTAAAAAGGCAAATGTTTCACATCATTAGCATTACTGCAGGTGTATTCGATGTTTCCATGTAGGGTGGTAATCCCAAGATGATCTACAGAGCAGGTAAACAAGTAGACACACTCCATCACATGTTTTGGTTTTACAACATGAAATCTGACATTAGATTTGATTTGATATTATGTGAAACATAGCCACATATTGTTTTGTTCATAATACTGTCATGTTACCTTTAATTACTGTATAAAAAGGAATATATGTGTTACTTCTTATTATGCATGCACATTTACCACATTCCTGTTACCGTTCAGTTAATTAACCTGCACTACTTTCTACCATTTTTGTTAATATAGCTAACCAAATTGAACTTGCATACTTGAGCATTGTTTGAAGCAGAAAGTTTTTCTTTCTTTCTTTGTTTATTGGGTTTTTTCAACAGCATACAGTTATTCTATCAGATCATCTATCAAAAGTAGGTAAACAAATCTTCACTTTATAGAAAAATAGGTAGAGTAACAATGTAAATACTGCTTAACACCAAGGCAAACAAAATCCCACGCAGACAGAAGACAAACAGATATACAAAAACAGACAAACAGACATACAAACAAAATAAAGAAATTCAATAATAAACATGTCAGTATGGCAGCACTTCCTCCCCGTGACAACCCGTCCAGTGTAACTTGGGACCCCTCCAAAATGCAAAAGTTTAATCAGTAATGATTGGGAACTTAATCCTCTTAACAAATTTGAAAAAACGGCCCCATATTTTCCCAAATATATTTGAGGAGCCAAAAGAAAACCTAATCCTTTCCATCTTCAGGAAAAAAAGGATGTCTCTTATCCAGTGAGATGGAGGTACAGTATCTTTTCATTTGGCAATATCAACCTTCTAGCCAGTAGGGTGGTAAAAGCTATCACGTCTCTCTTGGACTTAGGGAGGGAGGGTGAAGAGGGGGAGACCCCAAACAATGCAGGAAGAGCCTTCTGTGCCACTGGGGCCCCAATTAGCTCTGAAAAAGTTTGGAAAAATCTCTACCCAATACGTATGTAAGGATGGGCAAAGCCAGAACATATGGATGAGGTCCGCAGGAGATTGTCGACATCTATCACAGGCTGGTGATACACTGTCATAGATCCTTGCCAAACAGGGCTTGGTATAATAAATACAGTGTAGTAGTTTACATTTAAGACCATGTCTTGCACAACTTGAACATTTGTGTACACGTCCTAGAATCTCCTCCCATACCTCATCCGGTATTGGTTCACCCAAATCCTCCTCCCAAGCGGTCTTTATAGAGTTTAATGACTCCGGCTGCAAGAGTTGAATTTGGTTGTAAATATGGGAAATTGAGCCTTTCAAAGTTGGAAATGGTGTCAAGAAAACATCCAAAGTGGAATCATTAGGTAGATTGGGAAACATAGGAAACGTGCTATGAGCAAGCACATGTGTATTGATACCCAGGTACGTAAAGCTATGTTGGGCCACTCTGAAGGGAAAGTTGTGCAAAGGATCCTTCTTTAATAGGAAATATCTCACTTTTGTTCAAATTCAATTTGGAAAAAATTGAACACTAATCCATCATCATAGGACATTTAGAGTTACTTTAAATAATTACTTATGGGTTGAATTCAAATTAACATTAGAACTAATGTCGGTCAAAATTGCACGGATCAGAATCTATTAAATACACCATTTCCCCAGCTCTGCAATGAAAGAGATAACAAGATTAGGTACATTTCAGGAGCGTTAAGACACCCAAACATGCACACTTATCCTAATAGAGATTAGAGGACAGGTGTAATGTTGTGAACAAAATTATCAAGTAAAAGTTATTTATTTATTATATCTTATTTACTCCATTTAATAATTGTTGTGTGTGTGTGTGTGTGTGTGTGTGTGTGTGTGTGTGTGTGTGTGTGTGTGTGTGTGTGTGTTCAATACTTTCTTTATGGTATTTAAATTGGGCTCAAGTAGAACCTTTACATTGATGCTATGATTTTGAAGTTTCATGATTTAAAGTGTAGGCCTGTGAAGGAAAGGAGAGGCCCTTGGAAAACAAAATCCATTTTGACCTGTAATTACTTATTTTAAAGATATTGCAACATTAAATAATTGGTCAATTAATTTAACACATTTATTATCAAGGGTTTATGCATTCAGTTGGTAGTCGGCATGCAATGTACATGTTCACTGTACATGCTGTGGTCCTGAATAAAGCCACCACTTGCCTATGCATTGTGTATTCCTTGTACATACACACATGCATGTTCTAAGAAGTATCAACAACTTCTACAGTCCCCAAATGAAGAATGGTAAATCTAAGACTTTCATTTTGTAACGAATTCACTTTGTTCACTCTGAAACTCTATGAAAAGGTGATTAAAAAGCAAAAGTGTGTGGGGAACAAACCCACTGCAAATCCCTTGTTCTTGCAGTGTTTTTAAATCTTAGCCAATTGTTGGTACTGACACACACACGCGCGCACACACGCACACGCGCACACGCACACACACACGCTAGCCCTTAGCTGGCAACATAACTTCTCATCTGGTTTTCGAAATTGTTGGTACTCGGTGCTATCCGTAGTTTCCGACAACACAACAATGGCCGCTTCAGCTAAAGGACTAGAGCTGTCTAAAGCTGAGTACCTAAAACGTTATTTATCCGCTGACGAAGATGGCAAGAAGTCAAAGGGGAAGCCTAAAAAGAAACGGCGTCCGGTTTCAGATAAAAGGTGAGTCGTTGTGAAGGTTTGTATCAAGCCTCTGTTAGCAAGTTGTGTGTGAGTGATAGCCGCTAAGCTAACTGAAGTAGCCGTTACTGTCGCTGCATAAAACTTATTTTGGTTGAATGAAAAGTGGTCATAACTATACTTACTGTTCCTTCCATTCTTCAAGACTTACAATTGTGGACGATGACATAGACTGGAAACAGATGATCAATGAGGAGGAGGATGAAGAAGACGAAGAGGAAGCTCCAGTGGTAAGAAGTTAGCTAACTTTATTTATCTGGCTAACCTGTGTCCATTCATTCACATGCAGTGATTAGCACGCTGACTTATTCATGTAAACATACCGTGTACTGTCATTGTTTGATATTACGTAATCACCAGATTATCACGTATTTGTTATGTTTGTGTCTTAAACCTGCAATTGAATGTAGAAAATGTTTTTGAAAAGTATGTAATCACTTTTATAAAAAACAAGTAAATTAGCGTCATTTTGAGATAGTGGGGTATATAATACGGGTTAAAAACTTTAAAACCCTCATTATGTATTTACATTTGAATTAAGATATACTTATTATATTGGGATAAAGACGTCAGACAACACTTTTCTTTTAATGGTTACATCGATAAGATTTGAGAACATTGTGAAATTCAAGTCCTGCTTATTGATCTGCCACACACTGACTGTAATGCTTCAATACAAGCAGAGGTATTAAACAAATGTCTACCATGTTATGTAGATGACTTATATAGGCAGTTTCTGTGAAACTTTCCAAACACTCTCTTGAAATGTCCCCTCTTGCGTTTGCCTAATTAGATTGCTGAGATGATTGACGAAAGACCAGCGGATGTGAAACAGCTGGAAGCCTTCAGAACCAGCCATAGATGGAAAGTTATTGGAGGTAATGTGGACGTACCCATGATAAGTATTGTATCCACGCTAAACAGGCTTATTTAATTTGGGTCTCCTCTACCAACAGCTGACGAAAATGAAGACACAGAAGAAGTCGAAGGAGAAGATAATCAACAGCAAGAGTCAGAGGCACCAAGCGGGAGTCGCCATGACTCTCCGGACATATCCCCTCAAAGAAGAGGTCGCCATGACTCCCCAGACATGTCCCCTCAAGGAAGAGGTCGTCATGACTCCCCAGATATGTCCCCTCAAGGAAGAGGTCGTCATGACTCCCCAGACTTGTCACCTCCTAGGCAGTCGAAGAAATCGGGGAAGGCAGAAAGTAAAGGTGAGAAGGTTGATGAGGAGTAACTTTTCTGGATAAAAACAGAGAAAAAAAGATGGGGAAAGTCATAAAAAAGACATCACCAAACAGAAAACCTTCAAAGATTTGTATTCAATATATCAAGTTTATTGAAACATATTGGAAAATACCCGTAAAGTTGTCTAATGTATGGCCATTTTATTTGATTACTCGATAGTCAAATGGAAACCTCTTTTTCATTTTGCTGGAACAAATGTCAGTTTTTTAGAAGTCATTATGAAAAGACTCCACTTCTTCCACATAAGAACATAGGGTTTAAGTGCTTTGTTATAATAACATTTCGCTCAACAATACTTTTTTTGTCAGATTCATCAAGTAAAAAACGCTCACCTGATTCTCAGCAATCAACACTGGGAAAAAGAGCTCAGAATCGGCACAATTCAGACTCTGACCAGTCACCTCCAAGAAAAAAGCTGCCTAAGGGAGAAGATGCAGACTCGGACCAATCCCCTCCAAGGAGGAAAAACAAAACAAAACGGGGCTCTGATTCGGACCAGTCGCCACCCAGAAGGCGACCGCGGGGTGGAAAGGACTCTGATGAAGATCTGTCACCACCTCGTAGGCCTGGCCAGGTGAGCAAAGAGTTCAAAGAGTGATATTAATAATAATAATATTTCCTTATAGCGCTTTTTCCATGACCCAAAGCACTTTACAGATACACATTACACATACATGTAATGGTCATGTACTGTGGACAATACCCACAGGAACAAATTCAGGTGAAGTGTCTTGCCCAAGGACACAACGGCCTGACGCAGTGGCGGCGGAAGCGGGTTTCGAACTGGAGTTCCCCAACGCCCCCTTGATCTGATGATCAAACGCACAACCCACTGTGTCACTCGGCCCCCGAATATTACATCATATTCCTTAATAATTCAGTGTATGCAAACAATCAGACCGAATCAGCAATTTTTCTTGTCTTCTTTTTAGGTCCCAAGGATGCTCTCTGGTGGGACGTCAGGTCTTGTTTCAATAGATGTTTTAAGAAAGGAGAAGGAGGAGAACAAACGCAGAGACAGAAACAACCTGCCACTGGAAGGTTCGCTCACTTCTTCCTTTATTATTATTATTATGGAACAACTCACTGGATTTTCCAGATTTGGATCATCTTCACTATCTATGCTTATTCCAAACATATAAGTGTTTTATTGAAGTTCAGTGATGCAGGAAATGACCTTTGATATCTATTTTCCTGCTTTTACTAGATCAATCACGCAATGCCCAGACAGTGTTCCGAGACAAGACTGGTAAGAGGAGGGATTTGGATACAGAGAGAGAAGAGAAGCTAAAGAAAGCTGGAGAAAAGGCAGCAAAAGATGAGAAATATGCTCAGTGGGGAAGAGGGTACGTCTGCATTACATTCCACACATTTGAGAAGTGTGATCGTGACCCCATGAAGTTGATTAAAGTCTATTTGTATTTCAAGGATGGCTCAGGGCCAGATGTATCAGCAGAAACTTGAAGATGCGATGCATGAAGCCCACAAGCCGCTGGCACGTCAACGCGACGACGAGGATCTTGATCGCATGTTGAGAGATAAGCAGAGGGAAGGAGATCCAATGGCTGCAATGATCAGAAAGAAAAAAGAACGCAGTTCAAACACACATGGTAAATTAAGCACCTTGTTCTCTGGGTTGACTGATGCAACATGTTTTTCCCTTCTATATATATATATATGTATAGTGTATATTGTAACCTTGTTCTTGTTTTACTTTGCAGACAAACCTAGATATAAAGGTCCTCCACCACCTCCAAACCGCTTCGATCTTCTACCAGGTTATCGCTGGGATGGATGCGACAGGTACAGTGTGATATTCGTATCTGTCAGTCTGTGAAGGAGTGACTAAAAGTGGTCAATGGAAAGAAAGGGTCATAATCTGGGTTTGAGTTTACATTTCCCATTAGAGTGTATAGACTCAGGCCCTGCCACTAGTCTCAGGCGGGGCATTACCAAAGCCCATGAGACGATACATGAAATTGACTCTTAATACTTTGTCTCCTTTCTAAATTGTCTATGTATTAAAGGTCCCATGTCATGGCCATTTCTACTGATCATAATTCATTGTTGAGGTCTACTAGAATAGATTTATATTGTGCAATTTTCCAAACTCACTTTGGTTTCTCATACAGCATCTCTGTATAGTATGTGTATTCACTCTCTGTCCTACACGCCTTGTTGGAGCTCCTGCCCCCCCCCCCCCTATGAGCCCCCTATGAGCCCACTGTGCTCTGATTGGTCAGCTCGCCCACTCTGTTCTGATTAGTCAACCACCGTTACAGCGGGACATCAGTGTTTATGTGTTACAGTGGTGTTTGTTAGCAACCAGAAAATGACACCATTAATGACAAACAGATGAGAATGCTGGATGGGGTCTGGGTGCCGTGTTGGCGGGACGTTGCGGGACTCGCTGCTCCGCCCTTTGAGGCTCGATGAGTGGACAGTGTGAGCTGGATTACTTGTGTTGTTTCCTGGTTGCTGCGTGGGGTCTGCGAGACACCGCGGAGCTCACCCTGAGCACACACACTCACAGCCTGAGCTCCGAGTGTGTGTGCGGAGCTCCGCCAATTGGTCCATTTGGACTTTGTTACCTCAGTATTCCCCAGAAGGAAAAAATGGAAAAAGAGAAATCTCCAACGAGGCGTTCTGGGGCAGCATAGACACGTATTTTCTGTGTTAGAGTTTTACTCGCTACACGGTGTACTCTGAGGGTTTGTGACTTTGTAGAACGTTTACATGCATAAAAAGCTAAATAACACAAGGGGACGGGTAATAACCAGAAAAGCATCACGTGGGACCTTTTAAATTAAAGGTTTGCTCTGGTACACCAAATCAACTATGGAGTTGAATGTGTGATTGCGTATTTAACAACATAATTTGAATTGTTTTTTTCTCGCAGGTCAAATGGTTTTGAACAGAAACGCTACACTCGAATCGCGGATAAAAGGGCAGTCCAGGATGCGGCCTATAAATGGAGCGTAGAGGACATGTAATGGGAATCAGATCTGGAGCCAAGCTGAAGTGCAGGACCACTTGTCCCTAGAACTAAACATGAGCCAGAACATCTGATTTGAGGCTGTTCAAAAAGCTGTGTATAAGACTCATCTATTCAACAGAACTCACATTTTGAATGGATTGAGAAATACTTTGTTTACCATGAAAAGTAATGTAATACTGTCAAATGGACATCAGATTATGACAAAGTGAAAAAACAAAAACATAATTGTACATAGCAGTGAAGTGACAGCATCTTTATTATTTTATAATAATAATAAGTCGATGTGGAGCCAAAACAGATGTGTTTTTCACTGTTTTATTATTAAATAATGTTTTGGTAAAGCATTGCGCCCTGTGTCATAAGTGGTCACATACAGCAAAGAAATACGAAGTGTAAAGGGATTGAGTTGGAATTGAGTAATTTCACATTTTGGAGCTTTATTTTACTGAACAAAATATAGAATAGTGTTTAGTATGCAATTATCAGAAGTTATAACAGCTACTTAACTCACATCTCAGCAGATCAATCTTCATTACAACTGTGCAAACTCTGTCTGTTGATTAAAATGAGGGCTAAATTATCGAAAAATCTCTGAAAAAACTAGCTGAGGAGTTAAAATGGTTTAATTAAATGATATTACAATAGGAATCGGCCTGTGCATAGTTTAATTTCATATTTAAGCATTGTAAATTACAGTATTATGTAATGACGATACATCAATGACGGTGAGGTTTTTTTAATAAAGTACAACAACTATTTAAATAGTATCTCAACCTTAATCGAGTAAGTAGGAACCTTTTAAAAAGGTGATTAGAACTCGTTTCACTACGGAATGTTTTTGTCGATGCACACAGACTCGGGCGAAACGTTCTCCGTATCAATGGGGTTTGTATCTAATAACAGATGAGTGTTGCGAAATAACCACCTCTAAACTGCTGCTAAAACTCGTGTTTAAAGAGAGACATTGTTATATTAATTTTGCGCCACGATGGTTGACTGGAGTCCTATAGCGAAGGTGTACGACCCGCTGAAAGCTGGCAGCATCGACGGCACAGACGTGGAGCCCCATGACCGTGCGGTATGGAGGGCTATGACCGCCAGATACAAGCCCAACAAAGGCGTTGTTGGAGACCCACTGCTTACGCTGTTTGTGTATCGCCTGAACCCCCAGACGACGGAGGAAAAGCTGCATCAAGTGTTCTCAAAGTACGGAGACATCCAAAGGCTCCGGTTGGTTCGGGACATCGTTACCGGTTTCTCCAAAGGATACGCCTTCATTGAGTACAAAGAGGAGCGGTCTGTTGTCCGGGCCCGCCGGGACGCCAACAAGCTGGTGGTAGACCAGAATGAAGTGGTTGTGGATTTTGAGCAAGAAAGGACCCTCAAGGGATGGGTCCCCCGGCGGCTTGGGGGAGGGCAAGGAGGCAAGAAAGAGTCCGGACAGCTGCGGTTCGGTGGCAGGGACAGGCCTTTCCGTAAGCCCATCCATCTGGGGTTCGGTGCTATGCAGGACCAGGGAGGCGGGGGAGGGAGGGAGTGGGACAGACAAGGGGAGAAAGACAGGGAGGACCGGGGGCGACACAGAGAGCCGGAGTGGGGCAGCAAAGGGAGGAGAGATGACCGGGACAGAGGCAGAGAGAGGGACGACCGGATCCAGAGGGACGACCGGAGCCAAAGGGACCGGAGTAGGCACCGGGACAGGAGATGAAGGCCACATTTAAAAAAAGAAAAAAGGCTGTGACAGATGTTTAGATCTAAAGCAGCTGCCTGTCTAGAAGAATTGGAAGTGTGCAGTGAAGGATCTGTTGGGTTGCACACCTGGGTCTGGTTACAATACAGAGGACTTTCTGGATGTATCATTGGTTTAGTCTGAATGACAATTATACTGGTTGATATTCAACAGGTTGCATTGTATGTTAATATTATTTTGAGGGGGAGCTGCCCTTTTCAGCTGTTACTCTTAAATATTTCAGTATGTCCCAGGGACATCTGACTGAGTATTTGATTTTATCTTGGTGTAATTGGAGCAGCACACTGGAATAATTAAACTTATTTAAAGAAATAGGAATGTAAATCCCAATGAGTATACATTTTTGTTTTACAATATGTGAGGCCTAACAGTATGACACAAACTTTAAAAGCAAAAATCTGCAGCTGAGCTGACTGAGAAAATGCAAACTTTTCTTATACTTTTGCCATTTACCTAAGACATCCTAAGGGCAGTGTACCAATTATGTTTTTACCGATGAAGATTTTTGGAGAATCATATTTTGTAAGCATGAGCATTGGTGCAATACTGGCTAAACAACATCAAATAAACCAAAACATTTTGAACACGATGGCTTTCCTTGTTCCTAGCTCAAAACGTAATACGTTTAGTCTCTATCGTTTAATTGGATATCATTTTGTTCAGTGATTTTGTATGTTTTACAGATAGTGTTGCAACCAGCTGCTGCAATAACCATAGCTTCAACCTAACATAAAGCGCACTAATTTAAATTCTGCTTGTTTTCTTTAGGCATTTATCAGGGTGTCCGCGGGGTCTTAAAAAGTATTAAAAGTTGATAAATCAATTTAGCGAAAATTAAGGCTATTAAAAAGTATTAAAAAGTATTAAACGGCATTTTCCAAGGTATTAAGAAGTCCCACAGCAACGACAACATGAAACACCCTTTAATTTACTGAAACGACATGTCGGGAAACCCCCTCAAGGCGGCCCCATGCATAGCGCGCCGTAAAATGCTGCTTCTTATTTTAAGTTTCGTTGCCTTGCTCCGCTCTGTGGGGGGGAGGGTCCCAAGGTGGGTAGACCGGGATACGCAACGCTCTGGGGGTCCAACGGCTCCGTGTGTAAGCCCTATATGATCATTTTCTGATAACGATTAAATAGCCCGCCTCCTTCTCCCCACGTCTCCTGCTGCTGCTGGGCTGTCAGAAGAGGGGGAGGAAAAGAGAGGCAGGCACCGTTTATTAAATATTATTATACAGAGAACAGAGTCGTTATCAATTTGTTTTAAAGCTCAATAAATAACAAAGAAGACCTCTGATCGGCACTTTTCAAATTTTGTACGGAAGATTTAAACTTTAACAGACATGTTGACCGGCGGAACATTTTTTAACGGAAACTCTGCCGCATGGTTCCCTCGTCCCTTGGAAGAGGCGGGGAGGTGGGTGTTGTTCATCTGCTGGTGGACTACCGGAGAGATTTACAGCAGGAGCAAACGCTTGCCTCGGGGAGGGAGAAAAAGAGCCAG